GAAAGCCGGAGGAACAAATTTCACTCTAATTTTAATTGCGATTAAAAATAAACTTAGTTTAAAAAGATATGAAAACTAATTTAAATACAAAAAACAGACACAACATCACCTGAAAGAAAAAGAATGCTTCCCAGGCCAGAACATCTTAACTATAATCTTTGGACTGTTCCAATGTTTAAAAATGTGTGTTACTCATTAGAGAATTGAACAACAAGGGAAGTATAGGAAAAAGAAGGTTGCTCTATTGGCTTAGAATCTAGAGATGCTGAACCTCACATAATATTTATGTTCAGGCCATATCTATCTTTCCCATGAAGAGGATGAATAAGCCATGTCTGAACTTACTGTCAAGATGTTTCCTTGGCATGACTGAATCCAACTACTTGCCTTGTAAGTTTGCTTCCTTTACTTTTACTTGATTGATATAAGGAAAACATGTATTATTCACAAAGACATGAAAATTCAAGTTATAAATCCCAATGTAAATTAATAGATAAGTACATTAATTTCTTTTTTAGGCTTGTGTGCCTCTTATTTTGACCAAAATAAGTCTTCAAGAGTCAATCTCAACCTGCAAACAAATGGGCCACATTCTGAAACTAACTAATTCGATCAAGGCCATGTTTGCTGAAGTCTAAATAGCGCTGGTTGGCATTGCCTCTTCTGGCATTACTCCACTGATGTCTTGGTATGCACGTAGTGGTGGGTGCTTAGGTATGCATTCATGCATGCTAAGTTGTCTCAGTCATGTCCAACTCTTTGCAACCTGGGCTGTAGCCTGCCAGCTCCCCTGTCCATGAGATACTCCAGACAAGAATACTGGAGTGGGTTGCCATGCCCTCCTCCAGGGTATCTTCCCAACCCAGGGACTGAACCTGAGTATCCTGCATTGGCAGGTGTGTTCTTCACAACTAGTGCCATCAGAGAAGCCCTTTTATTTATTTATATTTATTTTTATTTTTATTTTTTTAGAGAAGCCCTTTTAAATGTATAGGTGCCAACAAGCATGCATGCATGTTAAGTCACTTCAGTCTCATCCAACTCTATGACCCTATGGCTTGTAGCTCGCCAGGCTCCTCTGTCCATGGGATCATCCAGGCAAGAATAATGGAATTAGTTGCCATGCCCTCCTCCAGGGGATCTTCCCAACCCAGGGATCAAAGCTGAGTCTCCTGTGGCTTCTGCATTGCAGGTGGATTCTTTATTACTGAGCCACAGAGGAAGTCTGTAGGTGCCAATATAAATATTAGCAATTGTTATTGTAGGAAATTTGGCTTTATTATGAGTGATGCAGAAAAATACCAGAGAACTTTGGACAAAGAGATTACCATACACAATTTGTAGTTTTCCCAGTGTTTTGACTGTTATATTGGGAAGACACTGTCAAGAGCAGTGGTAGAAAGATCAGTTAGGAGTCTGCAGTAAGCAACCAGGTGGAGATTACATTGCCTTACACCAGGGAGGTGGTAGCAACAGGTCAACCTGTAAATAAATGTTTAACACCAAGTGTATTTTCTAACAGGATGTGGAATTTCTGAGCTGTTGGTGTGTGTATGAGCATGCATGCATGCACATGCTCTTGTACATGCTAATTTCTGAGTGCGAGTATCTGTGTGGAAGGATGCGAAAGCCAGACAAGGAGATTCTTTATGTTGAGTTTTGTCAGTTCCTTTGTTCATCACACTAATGGCCTCAGAATTCTTGCTTTAAAATGAGGATAGTGGTACTTCCCTGGTGGTCATGTGGTTAAGAAAGCACCTGCCAATGTAAGGGATACAGATTTAATCCCTGATAAATCCAGGAAGATTCCATGCCACTGAACAATTAAGCCTGTGGGCCACAACTGCTGCGCCTATGCACCGCAGCTGCTGAAGCCTATTCACCCTAGAGTCCGTGCTCCACAGCAAGAGAAATCACAGTGAGAAGCCTAAGCACCTCAACTGGAAAGTAGCCCTTGTTTGCCGCTACTAGAGAAAACCTACATGCAGCAGTGAAGGGCTAGGGCAGCCAAAATTAAATAAATAAAATAAAATGTTGATGGTGGCTGGGTAGGTAGGAAAGTCAGAAAATTTCTCTGGAGCATGTTCACACATCCAAATTTTAGCCAAAGTGTCATGAACAGTGACAGCACTTCGTGGCTGCTGATCAGAGGCCTAGAATGTAAGACATTGTCCCATGAAAGCAGTAGCACCAAGATAGGCCTGAGATGGTTCCTTAAGTTGAGCGTTGCCTGTCCCAGTCAGATCTGCCCAGCATGTCACGGGCCCTTTGTCAGCAGATGTCGGTAGTACCCTCAAATGGTGAACAATGTTTTCCTCTTCCTGTTTCATGCCCCCCTCTCTCATCCTCATATCTCAGCCCACAAGCACAGAACCCTGCAAAGAGGATATACATTATGTGGAATCTTAAAAATATGAGACCTAGGACTTGCCTGGTGTACAGTAGATAAGAATTTGTCTGGCGCAAAGGAAGGGACATGGGTTTGATCCCTGGTCTGGGAATATTCCACATGCTGCAAAGCAACTAAGCCTGTGCTCCGCAGCTACTGAGCCTGCACCAGACTACTGAAGCCCACACACTGTTACTACTGAAGCCTGTGCACCCGAGAGCGTTTGCTCCACCAACAAGAGAAGACACTGTGATGAGAAGACAACACACACTACAGTGAAAAGTACAATTTCATCTCTGATTTGACCCCCCTAAAACCTTTGACTTAAAAATGAGAGACTTTTCTTTAACTTGTTGATTCCAGATGTACATAGCAATTCAACTTGTTTTTAAACATGGATGCTGCTAGCATAGTTGCCTTGTTGTTAAGATCCATTAAAAAGAAGGCTCCAAAATTCCCTACTCTTCAATATTGCCACCCCAGTCTGAGATCTTTTGCACTTAGGAAGAGATGTTAAATGAGTCAACTTACTCTTTGTAAATTCTCACCTGACATTAACTTCTGTTAAAAGTCAAAGTAGGGAATTGTGTTGAGACTTTTTTTTTTCATTTTTCTGCAACATGTAAAGATGACATTATATACCAAATTGACAACGGTAGCTGATTTTTCAGAAGGTCAGAGTAGTAATTTTTTTTTTTCAGTCCTGGATGTCTGATTTCAAAATGATCTTCTTAATTGTTAAGCCACCTTACTTTACTTGTCAATTAGCATTGAAAACATACTGGGAGTAATATCTAGATGGTATCTTCTTGTTTGTAAATTTTTAACTTTAAGAATGCGTCCACAATGTACACCAAAATATATTATCTATTTTATTAATTCCATGCAGTTTTGCTTCAATTGTCTTTCCTGTTTACCTGAAATTCTTACAATATACAAACACATTATTCATCAGTGATTTGGCCTATGCTATCCTCCTTTTCTTTTCTGACTTTTGTCTTCTTGTCTTTTGGGCAGTTGTCTATACTACTTACCTTTACCACCCATTTCATACCAAGGGCTTCATCATCTGATCTCATAAAAACCTTGAATACACTCATTTACAGTCACTTGTTAAATGTGTTACTTTCAGAATCTCCTCAATTAGATTCAGAACTGGGAAAGGAATAGGACAAAGCTGTGTATTGTCACCTTGCTTATTTAACTTCTATGCAGAGTACATCATGAGAAATGCAGGGCTGGATAAAGTACAAGCTGGAATCAAGGTTGTCAAGAGAAATAGCAATAACCTCATATATGCAGATGACACCCACTTTATGGCAGAAAGCAAAGAGGAACTAAACAGCCTCTTCATGAAAGTAAAAGAAGAGAATCAAAAAGCTGTCTTAAAACTCAGCAGTCACAAAACAAAGACATGGCATCTGGTCCCATCACTTGATTGCAGAGATGGGGAAGCAATGGAAACAGTGACAGACTTTATTTTCCTGGGCTCCAAAGACACTGTAGATGGTGACTGCAGCCATGAAATTAAAAGACACTTGAGAGTTGGTGATGGACTGGAAAGCTTGGCATGCTGCAGTCCATGGGGTCACAGAGAATAGTACACAACTGAGTCACTGAACTGAACTGAACCGAGATTCAGAATTAGGATGAAAGAGGGAGCAAGGATTACTAAAAATTCATACATCACTTCCAGAATCAAGTGTCCAGGTAAGTGGTTATTGAAGGAGAGGATTAAATTGGCATATGTTGCTTCTGGTAACACTATGCTAATGACTACAAAGGCAGAGAAGCCATCAGAGACTGGATAAAGAAGAGGGCAGACCTCTAGTCACTTCTGTGATGTAGATGATAAAGCATCCTGAGAAGAATGGAATTCTATTTAGTGGAATCCCATGAAAGGACTGCAAGACAGCAGTGACTATCAAGTCACAAAAGTCCGTTTTTACGTTCTTGTCAATCCAATACTTATCACAATATTATAATACAAGCAAAGAGAGACCAAAACTACCTCCCCCCTGCAATCCTTGGGATCACAAAGAATCATACACAACTGAGCCACTGAACTGAACTGAACTGAAATTCAGAATTAGGATGCAAGAGGGAACAAAAATTACTCAAAATTCATGTCATTTCCAGAATCCAGGCCAGAAGGTTCTGTCTTTCTTGTAGTTCTTTATAAGATGACAGAGAAAACTAGGATAAAAAGAGGTCAGGGGAGAAAGAGCAATGGGGACAGTAAAATGCCTAAAAAACATTTTAAACAGTGGTGTCCATAGGCAGAAGAACTTAATGGATTTAAGTGAAGTTCTTTACAATTAAAGAGAGAGGAGACATTTACAAGAAATGTGAAATAGCATAATTGATTTAAATAAAACATACCAATGATCTAACTCCCAAATCAAGCTTCAACTTGAATTCGTTAAGGAAAAGTAAGGTTAAGGAGCAGAGTCTGTTTTCCACTAACAACATCAGCTATTTACAACCATTCCTGTCATGGGGTCCAAGATACTGATATATTTCCTCAAGGTCTCAACTTAGCCCTTCATTTCTTTATGTCTTCAGTGCTTTGCCCTCCCGTGTGCCATCTGAGTAAGAGACAGTGAAATAATTTAAATACACCAGTGCAATGAAAATAAAAGTTTTTATTAGGCGGAGGCCAGATGCTCAAAACACTTCATAATTTTTCCATATTCAGTTTTTGGGCTCTGAGGATGAAAAGACCTTTCCTGGAAATCAGGAAGGGGAACTTAGTGATATCTGTGGGCCAGGGCATTGGCAACACCGGTCACCACCTTCTGAAAGCTAGCCTGCAACTCCGGGGTGAATTCACCACCGAAGCGGCGAGCCAGCACAACCACCAGCACATTGCCCAGGAGCTGTGTGGAAAACACATTAAGCAAGGGCAGGGTTAGTGCAGGTACCCAGGTTAGATTCAGAGTATTTCAGACTCATCCCAAGCTGTGCCCCTAGGATATTAGCACAAAGATGACCAAAGTATAGATGCTACTACTGATGTGAAGGTACCCATATCAGCCTGAATTTATATTTAGAAATGTTTCTCTCTTTCTACCTTAATACAGAACTTATCATTTTTATTATTTTGAATCATTTCAAAAAGCAATGCAACATTTTAACCCTTGAAAGGAACAGATCAGAGGAAAATATTAGATATCATTTTTAAAGTAGATAAAAGAAGAAATCTTTTTTCAAATTGAACATTCAAAGAGTATAATTAAAAAGAAAAGACATTGCAGACAACAGAGAACAAGAATGAATCAGAGGAAATGATGGTTGTGAGCAAAGAGGTTAAAAGAATCTAAACGGATCTGAGGAGTCCTTAGCACTCGTTAACCAGAATACATCTTTTCCATTCTAAACTGCATCCTGCTATTCAGATCTCTCCCCATGACACGAGCTTCACCATAAAAAGAAGAAGGAGAGCACTGAGGATTCCACAAACTCACCCTGAAGTTCTCAGGATCCACGTGCAGCTTATCACAGTGCAGCTCACTCAGCTTAGCAAAGGCACCCTTGAGGTCGTCAAGGTGCTTCAGGCCATCACTAAAGGACTCAAGTACCTTCTTGCCATGGGCCTTCACCTGAGGGTTGCCCATAACAGCATCAGCAGTGGACAAGTCCCCAAAGTGCTCAAAGAACCTCTGAGTCCAGGGGTAGACAACCAGCAGCCTAAGGGGTGAAAAGGGCACAAGGTCAGAGGAACTCAGCAGCTTTCAGAATCTCAGGGGAAGGCTCTGTCCTCACACGCCCAGGTGCCATTCACTCTCCTTAAACCTGTCTTGGAAGTGGGATACCTACCTGCCCAGGGCCTCTCCACCAACTTCATCCACTTTCACCTTGCCAAATAGGGCGGTTACGGAAGTCTTCTCCTCAGCAGTCAGCATGGTGTCTGCCTGTGTAGTTGCTAGTGAACACGGTTGTGTCAGAAGCAAGTGTAAGCAGCAGCTGGCCCAGCTCTTCCTTTTATGCCCAGCCCTGCCTCCTGCCCTCTCTGCTTCTGTGAGCAGATTGGCTCAGGCCAAGGTGTGGTTCCACAGGGTGAGGCTTGAATGATGATAGTCATACCTCTCCTTAGTCTTCCTGACACTGACTTCAGACCTTCAGCCCTCTTTCTGGGCATCTCAAGGTCTCAGTCATTCCAGCAATACAAATTGCTACTAAAATCATCTTCCTTAGCAAGTTTGCTTGTAGAGATTTTAGAATCACAACGAGGTAACCTCTTGGAAACCACCTCCTCAATTTTGTTATTATACAAATGAAGAATCTGGGGTCCAGAAAGTGGAAAGAATGTGTCCACTATGATTCAAACAGCCCTGCCTCCTGCCCTCCCTGCTTCTGTGAGCAGATTGGCTCATGCCAAGTTGTGGTTCCACAGGGTGAGGCTTGAATGATGATAGTCATACATCTCCTTAGTCTTCCTGGCACTGAATTTAGACCTTCAGCCCTCTTTCTGGGCATCTCTAGGTCTCAGTCATTCCAGCAATACAAATTGCTACTAAAATCATCTTCCTTAGCAAGTTTGCTTATAGAGATTTTAGAATCACAACGAGGTAACCTCTTGGAAACCACCTCCTCAATTTTGTTATTACACAAATGAAGAATCCGGGGTCCAGAAAGTGGAAAGAATGTGTCCACTATGATTCAACTTAAGACTATGTGGATAGATCATCTCCTGTGCCTTCAGAATATATAAAAGAATTACAAGGACAGCGTGGACAAAACCGCTGCCCCTCTTCTAAATATGCATCTCTTGTTTGTTTGTTTAGGATTAAATCGTTCTGGTATGAAAACAAATACTCATTTGTTTATTGACTCATTCAACTTTTTTCTTAATTTAATTTATGACCAAATAAATAATGATAGAAAAATAGAATAAGTATGGATTAAAAAGTCCTGTGAAATACTTACTCCATTAATCCATAGATGAAAACATACAGACCTCTCCATGTAATAAAAAATACAAAGAAGTAAAAAAACAATCATAAACCTAAGGTTTCAATAACCCTGCTAGAATCAATGTGTTCAAAGACTCAATAGAGGCATATAACTTGTTTCCTCATAGACTAATCTGGGAAAGTGTCTGGAAGAACAGAGAAGCTTCTCCATGATTTAAAAGGAGGGATAAAATTGTGGAAGACATTCCAGTTTGAATCAGATTATTTGTTTTCTTCCTCTAAGCCTCTAAGAATACTGTGTTCATAAGAATTACTTTTCTATTTTATTCATTATCCATAATTTTGTTTTCTCCATATACTTTACTTACACCTTCTTTCACTAAAATTTATTCTTCATTATCTACAGCTTTTCAATTTCTTCTCTCTTTGCCCCTCCTCCCACCCATGTAACAAATCCTGTTACCTTCTTAGGGAAGAAAAACTTCTGAAGTATAGAGGTCTGCTACTTACTACTAGAAGATTCAGTGAAAAAGCAAAAGCAGCAAGCATTTCTTAGCTCAGCATTAGATCTCAGAGTTCCCTGAGGGTCCCCTAATTTCTATCATCTCTACTTTTTGCATCTTCCCTTCTTCTTGAATTTCTACTTCTTTTCAGTAAGGAAAGGAGCATATATATATTTACTTCCCATGATCTCTGTCCTTAGAACCTTGTCCTGATTCAGACAACTTGATGTCTAGAATCACCTTTCTCTCACCTTTGCCATCACTGACAAAACATGTTTTAAAAAATCTCTCATTCTTTCAGCTGTATGTCTCTGTAACTCCAACTAATATATTTTTAGGTGAACTAGCTTGAGAAACTTATATGCAGGTCAGGAAGCAACAGTTAGAACTGGACATGGACCAACAGACTGGTTTCAAATAGGAAAAGGAGTATGTCAAGGCTGTATATTGTCACCCTGCTTATTTAACTTATATGCAGAGTACATCATGAGAAATGCTGGGCTGGAAGAAACTTAATGTCTAGAATCACCTCTCTCTCACTTTTGCCATCACTGGCAAAACATGTTTTTAAAAATCTCTCATTCTTTCAGCTCTATGTCTCTGTAACTCCAACTAATATATTTTTAGCTGAACTAGAAGGAAATGGCTTCTGCATTTCTAGTCATTACAAAGAAATTCATTAATGTCCAGCTTTTGTTACTCCATCCTCCAAAATATTTTTTCCGTCATTCCTAGGTAAATGAAGATTCCTCACCCCTTTGACCTGGTCCATTCCCCATCAAGTACTTGTGAACAAATTCATTCTGATATTTTCAGACATGTAGAAAAGTCTTGGCTCTTGCCTGGCTCTCTGGAAGTTAGGGTAGGATTATATGCCTGCAAGATTATAGGGGAAAAAAATATAGAGTTTAAACATTTTCAATTTATATTCACTCTTTTCTGCAACCTTCAAAGAAAGAGGCTCTAACTATTGGTCTAAACTTAGAAAAAAATTTCCACATGTTGACTTCTGGGAAAAGAGATCTTTCAAATGTTTTAAAAGTTAAAAACAGAAAACAAAAAACTGCCATTTGGTTTGACTTTTAGTTTTGAGTTTCAATTGATTAAATTGAAATCTCCATTAGCTTCATCATTGTTTTGTATTTGTACTGTTTAAAAGACCCTATTTTACACCTCTGATATCAGAGGTCAGGCGTATGTGAGTTAAAGGACTTCTTCTGGAAAACTTTGGACATGTCTTCTCAGGAAGTCTGTGTTATGGAAAATTCACAAAACTTACTAAATAATAGTATATTCTAGTCTTATATTTTCTTGTGCAGAAGTCAAATAATCAGGGCTACAATTTTGCTGCCTGGACTGACAGAAATTAGCATGTACTTAAAGACTTCCCCCATCATTTTATGTTTTCAGAGATGATTTCCTTAATTCATTTTATTTGAATTAATTATTTTTGAATATTTGATCTATAATATTATATTAGTTTCAGGTATACAACATAGTGATTCAGTATTTCTAAGGACTATGCACCTTTTAAAGTTGCAATAAATTATTGACTGTGTTTTCTATTCTGTATATCCTTGTTGCTAATCTATTTTGTACATGGTAATTTGTATCTTTTAATCACTTACCCCTATCCTGACCCTCTACTCTCCTCTCTTCCCATGGCTAACCACTAGTTTGTTCTCTGTATCCGTGAGTTTGTTTCTGCTTTGTTATATTAATTTGTTTGTTTTGCTTTCTATGTTCCACATATAAGTCACAATAAACAGGATGTTGTGTTTCTTTGTCTGACATTTCACCAAGCATAATATCCTACAGGTTCATCCAGTTGTTGCAACTGGCAAAATATCATTCTTTTTTATACCTAGTAGTATTCCAGTATATGTGTGTGTGTGTGTGTATACACATGTATATACATATATATATATACACAAATAATTCTACTGTGTCTTCTTTTTTAAGTCTTCCTTTGCCATGAATGATCTATGAGCCCCTCTTTTGTACTGACTGCTGCAGCCACCATCATGCAAGTCTCGGGGCAAGAGTTGTTGTCTCCACCATTGCTACTTGGTATGATTAAAGAGTGAAACATGTTTTTCTTTCTATTACCATAACTCTGCAGGGACAAGACTACAAGTTGTTATAAGACAATCAAAAGTTCAGGCAAAAATAAGGAAAAGTGAAGAGTTATATAGGTAGGGTTATGTTCAGAGCCTAAAGTGCAAATCCAGGTCGCCACTAAAAAGGTTTTGGTATGCTTCTTAGGCCTACTACCATCTTCACCGTCATGAGCTTTCCTGTACTCTGTGAAGGGATCCACAGCACATCTGCTATGCTTTGATCCCAGCCCCGTTGAGGACTGAAGAGACACACACAAGCACACACTCATACAAATCCACAGAGAGAGAAACAGACAGTTTTTTTTTGTTGTTGTTTTCTTCCCCTTTATTCCATTCTGGTGAGGTCACCTAATTCCTAATGTTCTATACTAGGATGGGCCTAATCTGAGTATAATTATGTGGGTGAATATTGACTTTCTTCAAGAAAATTATGACACTCATCCAGAGATGTATGGTTTCATCATTTGGTTCAAAAATTTCACTCAACTAGAATTTTTTTGTACATGCTTTGATGTTCAATTTTTAATTACCCAAGTAGAATATTTCACCAAACTCATCTGTATTTTTCTGGGTAAAGTAGCTATTTATTTAATTATTTTCCATTAAAGTTTATTACAAGATAAAGCAGCTATTATTTACTCCTCTTCCCTAGATGTACAATATCTTAGTTGCCTTGGTTTTAGCATTGTTTCAAAAATAAAGTAAAATAAAATAAAACAAAAAAACAAAATGAAGTAAATTCTTCTTGAAGAGCAGAACTCATAGAAACAGAGCTCATAAACAGAATAGTTTAGAAATGGTGCAATTTAACTCATGTTTCTAAAGGTCATTTTTTTTCTAAAAACAGTAAAATCAATATAGCAATAACATTGATAAAATATACCCTAAATATTACAGGACAGTTAATGTCTCAGTTTATCAATTGCATATTAATATTTCCTCCACTGGGCTCAGGTTTTAATTCATTCAGAATTAGCTTTTATTTACCTCAAAAGTGGGCTATGGTACTGATTTATCAAGAACAAAGGGGCAGTCTTTCTCAAGTGAAATTTGAAGCTGTATGTCTGGAAAGGCAGAATCATGGCTTCAGACTGGGCACCCTTGACAAATATATAAGGCATTTATTCCCAAAGCCAACTTTTAGGGCACTTCTCTGAGGCTTAAGAAATGGAAAATCTAGAATAGCATCCTATATTCCCATGATATTCAATTGACTGATTTTAAAATGATTATGGAAATCAATGCACAACATTACTTACTTTTTGCTCTCTCTCCTCTCCTTTCTCCCCCCACTTCTTCCCTCCCTTTCTCTCTCTCTCCTCTCCTTTCTCCACCCTCCCTTCCTTCTTCCCTCCCGTTCTCTCTCTCTGACTCTCTGTGTCTCCCTCTCTCTGGCTGTCCTTCTCTCCTTGCCT